AACTCTTTCAGAATTAGTGTAATACAATTCCACTTAGCTAAACCACCCAACATTTTATTTATTTGTTTGTTTTGTTTACATGCCACCTCTTTCCCAACAAGGGGACCCGAGGCAACTCACACTATTAAAAGAATAGAGTTACAAATATAATAAGTTGAACATTAAAAAAACAATTAGTACAATTTTGTCAGCAGGAGTCGAAACATGTTTATCTTCAAGGGCAGCCCCCCCCCAGAACATGTTGCAGTAATCTATCTTGAACTTTTTCAGAGAACAGATCACTACAGGCTAGGCACCTGATAAACCAGCCAAATGCATTAAGAGATTCTTTCTTAAGGGATGCTTGGTATCTAGTTTGTTCAGAGGGGAAATAAAAGATGCAGTCTTCTAGTTATCTCTTGATGGCTGTATTTCATTAACATCCCAATCATATGCTGAAGTCATAGTTTCAATTATAGTCTGTGTATTATGAACTGCCAAGCTGTTTTCAACTTAAGGTGTCTGTAATAGGGTTTTCCAGGTACAGTGGTGCCTCGCTTAACGAGCGCACCGTACAACGACGAAATCACATAGCGATCCCTTTTTTGGGATCGCTAATGCGATCGCTCAACGTTGTTTAGATAGGGCAAAACTCGCTTTGCAAAGATCGGCAAGCGTTTCGCTTACCGATCTTCGCAAAACGAAGCCCCGACGATCAGCTGTTCGGCGGACAAAATGGCCGCTGGAAGCCCCGAAATGGCCGCGCGCAGCGTTTTCGCGCCCTCCCCTCGCTTAACGAGGGCGCGAAAATGGCTGCCGGCCATAGGAAGCATCGCTGAACTGTGAGTTTTCGGCCATTTGGAACGCATTAAACAATGTTTAATGCGTTCCAATGGTTTTTTTTTATCCGTTCAGCGATGTTTTGCTATAGCGAAGGTTAATCCGGAACGGATTAACCTCGCTATGCGAGGCACCACTGTATATGTGAGAGTCATGGAGTGTTTTCCCATTGCTAGACCACCCCCCTGTGGCAAAGCAGTGATTTGAACCCACATCTAGGTACTAGAACTGTTGAACTCAATGGCACCTATATTAGTGTGGTCTAACAAATCCCGTTGCTGTCAGTAGGTTTAATGTAATAATAATTACATGCTGTCAGGTTGATTCTAACTTATGGTTACCCTTTCCAAGGTTTTTTATTTTATTTATTTGTTTATTTGTTTATTTGTTTATTTGTTTGTTTGTTTGTTTGTTTGTTTGTTTGTTTGTTTGAATGTCTACTCTGGGTGGCTAACAATAATAGATGCATTTCGATATAGGGTAACCAGAAGTGGTTTACCGTACTATTCCCTTCTCCCTGGGATTATACAGTTTGCCCAAGGCTACAAAGGCTGGCTCTTCTCCCAAGAGGTCCAGCCGGGAATTGGACTTCCAGCTTCTGGATCTGCAACCAAACTTACTGAGCTATCTAGCCAGCTTGGATTTAGTCTGGGACAAAATCTACCCCCACTCCATGAAAGTTGATGATATATAAGGGCTTTCAGAGCAGAGCAAGTTTAGAAGACCACCAGAGTTTTAAAAAATGATTTTATATGGGTCTGTAACCTACGCTGAACTCCAGCGATATTGTGTGGGCTGTAAATGCTTTAAATAAATAAAGTGTAGAAAAGCTTTGTACTGTTCCTTTCTGCTCCTAACCACCCTTCCACTCTGCCTCCAATCTTCCTCTTTCAGTTGACGGGAGCGTTAATTAAAGTGGCCGCCGGTTTCCCTCCAGTCCAAATAGCTTCTCTGGGTGCCAGAGGTTGGGCACCATTTGGATGGATCATACAGGAGAGCTATGGAGCTGCCCGATTGCTGGGTAAGGACACCTGTGTTACCCATTTCACGTCTTAACTTGATTGCATTTTCTCAAGTACGGTGGTGCCTCGCTTAGCGATTGCCTCGTTTAACGATGTATTTGCTTAGCGATGAGGTTTTTGGAGCGATCTTGCGCTCCATTTAGCGATGTTTCCAATGGGAAATTTCGCATAGCGATGTTCGGGACCTTGCCTCGCTTAGTGATGACAGTTTAGGCCTCCCTGTTTCGCTTAGCAATGTCTGTTTTCACTATTTTTAGTGTGTCTTAAAATGTTCAAAAATTTTTTAAAATGCTTGGACTCGTTAGTGCACCCTGTAAAACCTTTGCAAACTTAATTTGGCTTTGTTCTGAGTCTTCGTTAATTTTTGGTGAACTTCCCCCTCCCCATTGGAATGCATTGAACTGTAGGTTTGACAGCTGTCAACGGACCTGTCAAAACCATTGAAATGCATTGAAACCTATTCAATGAATTTCAATGGGGGAACCGCGTTTCGCTTAGCGATGTTTCCTATGGCAATTTTCGCTTAAGGATGGTAATCCGTTCCCATTGGAACGGATTATCCAGTTTTCAATGCATTCCTATGGGAAATGGTGTTTCGCTTAGCGATGTTTTCCCATGGCGATTTTTTTTTTAACCAATTAACATCGCTAAGCGAGGCACCACTGTACACCCATATTTTACAACCAGTACAATATGGTTGTAAATTAATTATCTGTTGTATACTTTTTAAATTGCATTTTGTATATTTTAACCATATAATATGTTTTACAGTATGAGCTGGTCACCCGACCGTAATAAATTCATTCATTCATTCATTCATTCATTCATTCATTCATTCATTCATTCATTCATTCATTCATTCATTCATTCATTCATTCATTCAAGTACCCCTGAAGTTCCTTCAGTACCTTAACAACTTTTCCCTTGAGTCTGTGAAGGGAGCAGGTGCTTCTCTCTAGCTTGGCTTACTCTTGAAAATATGGTTTGCTTAGAACAAGGGTTCCCAACCTTGGGTCCACAGATGTTTCTGGACAGCAACTCCCAGAAATCCTGGCTAGCACAGCAAGTGTTGGAGGCTTCTGGGAGTTTTAGTTGAGGCTGGAAACCACTGATTTAGAGGTCAAACCTCATAAGGATCTGAACCAGTGTTTTGAGTTGTTTGTCGAAGCCACATGGAAATATTTCTCCCTTAAGGCCTTTGGTCTCATTAGCCTGGTTTACAAGAAGTCCAGATCTGAAAATATGGGATTATATATAGACTACAACCCGCAGGAGATGTCTGTCTATCTTATGGTTCAAAATTGTCAGTAAAGGAAGGTGCAAGTACTATCTTTTGGTTTGTTTTGAGACTATACAGAAGCATTTGGATTGTTTTTGATCCCCAAAGGGAAATCCCAAGGTATATTGAAAGATTTGTCACCACCTCTGTTTCCCTCACAGATGGCAGAATGAGCCTGGATTTGAGTTCAGGACCATTTCCTGGAGGATTTAATATTGTTGTCGTGGAGCCAGAATCGGTAAGAAAAAAAAGACGGAGACAAGATCCTCAGGTAGAGTAAGTTGGGGAACTCTGGATGTCCTGCCTCCCAAACAAATTAAGAAGCCCTCTTCACACAGAGGAAAGGCGCCTCTCACCCAGCAACTTGTTGGTCGCTTTGGCCAAACAAATGGTCCAGTGGGGAGGGCCCAGCAAGACAAGGGGGCCCAAATCCTTTTCCCACACCCCACTCCCTCAGCCCTGGGTACTGCAAATTAAAAGCACCCATCAGTTGTAATGGTGCCTCACTTAGCGATGTTAATCCATTCCGGAAAAAACATTGCTAAGTGGTTTCATCACTAAGCGATATGAAAAAGCCCATAGGATCGTATTAAAACACCGATCAGCTGTTTAAAAAGTTCGCTTTGCCATGATCGCTTCCCCGCGATCATTGCAAAGCAAATTTTAGCCATAAGGGCCATCGCTAAGTGATCGCTCCAGCGATGGCCAAAAGTCCATCGCAAAGCGATTTCATTGCGCGACGGAGCGATCGCTAAGCAAGGCACCACTATAAACTATTCAGCAATATGGAATGAACCACTGAATTCTGTAAATTCACTAAATGCAGCATTCCGTAATGCCTCTATTTGTGTGAGTCAATTAAATAATAGTAATCATGTGCTGTCAAGTTAATTCAGGGTTTTCTTAGTCAGAAATGGCTTCCTATTCTCTTCTTCATAGCCACACAGGCTGGCTGTACTTATAGGAGGCACAGTGAGGAATCAAGCTCCAAACCTCTGGCTCCACACTAGATGCCTAATCTGCTGAGCCAGCCAGCAAATCAATTAAAAGCTTGCCTAAAAAGGAAGGGCTTTGCCTGATAGCGGAAGAATGAAAGAGAGGAGGCCAACCTGGCTTCTCGTGGAAGGGAGTTCCACAGCTTGGGAGCCGCCACTGAGAAGGTCCTCTCCCATGTCCCCACCAAACGCACCTGTGAAGGCAGTGGGACTGAGAGAAGGGCCTCCCCAGAAGACTATAAAAGCCAAGCAGGCTCACCTGGGGTAATGGGATCCTTCAGAGAGACAGACAGAGCTTTATAAATCCTATAACCAGCACTTTGAACTAGGCCCAGAAAGTGACCAGCAACCAGTGGAAATAAATAGACCTTGGGCTTGCCAAGGACTTGATATGTGACAACTCACCGAAGAGGTGTGTTTCTTCGTTCAGCAGTTGGATTTCTTGTCTTCTCGTACAGTTAGGTCAGATCGGTTGTTCACTGCATCGGTTTTGGAAAGTTTTGCAAATGCCCTTTGAACTTTTATTATATTTTCCATTCAGAGATAATTGTACTTTTCTACCTGGGATTAAAGGGATGTGGTGGCGCTGCGGGCTAAACCGCAGAAGCCTTAGTGTGCTGCAGGGTCAGAAGACCTGCAGTCGTAAGATCGAATCCACATGACGGAGTGAGCTCCCATCGCTTTGTCCCAGCTCCTCGCCAACCTAGCAGTTCGAAAGCATGTAAATGCGAGTAGATAAATAGGTACCGTCTCAGTGGGAAGGTAAAAAGCGTTCCGTGTATAGCCGCGCTGGCCATGTGACAATGGAAACTGTCTTTGGACAAACGCTGGCTCTACGGCTTGGAAACGGGGATGAGCACTGCCCCCTAGAGTCGAACATGACTGACTAAAAATGTCAAGGGGAACCTTTACCTTTTCTTTTACCTGGGATTATAATTTTAGGGTGAAAAGTTGGTACTGTTAGAGTGAATAAACGGTGCAGTCTGCCCTCCCAACCAACATAGATGCTTTGGATTTTATGGAAGGTCTCATAGCTACCTCACTTCCACTGTCTTTTACGTTGGCAGTGTAGTTCCACAGCAATGGTTCCCAAACTTGGCTCCGCAGAGGTTTTTGAACTACAACTCCCAGAAATCCTGGCCAGCACAGCTAATAGTGATGGCTTCTGGGAGTTTTAGTCCGAGAAGCTCTGGGGACCCCTCGGTTGGGAGCCACTGATCTACAGGGTTATTTTCTTCTCCTTCCTCCAATTTGATGACTTTTGAGAACTGCTGAGCAGCTTTGTAGTGACAAACTGTCTTGTACTTCTTCTTCTTCGAGGACTGGGTGACCTTTGAGGATGTGGCTGTGCATTTCACGGAGCAGGAGTACGCCCTTTTGGATCCAGCCCAGAAGGCTCTGCATTGGGAAGTCATGGAGGAAGTTTCTGCTCATGTGGCTTTTGTAGGTAAGACTCCTTCTTTCCTTTGAGTCATGGATCTGGGATGCAGGAATAACTGTTATTCAGTAAACAAAGAAACAAAAAAAATATCTGCTGTTTTAAGACCATCATTAAAGCCATCTCATGTTGAAGCGTGGTTCTTCAAGGCCAAGACAACTGGCCTGATAGAAATAGGACTTATTGAAACAAAATTGAAAGTCCATAATCAGTGCTGCACAGTTAAAACAGTAAACCAATGAATATTTGCCCAAATCCTCCTGTGTAGTTACCCTGGCATAGCACGAATGGCATAACAGTTGGGAGCAAATTGGTCCCATCCAAGAAATCACCGTAGATGTTATCAGTTGCATACTGAGTTGGATGACTTAACTCAGTTGGAAATTATCAGTGTGCACCTGATAATGTCTACAGTGATCTCTTAGTTTGGGCCAACCTGTCTCTTAAAGTTATGCCATTTGTGTAGTTCTGCAAGAGGATTTTGTTTTAATAAATTATAATCCACCCAAAGTACATCAGTTCAGTTCACCGTGGTACTTGAACCAGCTCCCAGTGGAGCTACAGCTTCCCAATGTTGAAAGTCACCTAAAAACACTGCTTTTTAGAGAGGCCTTTCTCTGTAAACCTGCTTGGTTTTTCATTCTGTTTCACGTTCTGCATTTAAGTTTGCAGATTATGCCTCTTCGAATTTATTGCTATTTTCTCTGTTTTTTTTAATTTGTTTGAATGTTGTGATTTTATTGCTGTAAACCTCCCAGAAAAGTGCATTGTACTAAGAGGTCAGTATATAATTTAATGTCTGTCTGTCTGTCTGTCTGTCTGTCTGTCTGTCTGTCTGTCTGTCTGTCTGTCTGTCTGTCTGGTAGAAGCAGTGCACCTTTTGTCCACAGACTTAATGGAACGATCTCCACGAATACATCTGGAAGTTGAGTTGTGGCCACTGGACTTCTTCCTTATTAGATTGAAATGTTTCGCTCATCCAAGTAGCTTCTTCAGTCTGAGGAGAGTTGATAGGAGATCCCTGATAGACCGTCTTACCAGCTCTCCTCGGACTGAAGAAGTTACTTGGATGAGTAGCGAAAAATTTCAACCTAATAAGAAAGAAGTCCAGTTGCCGTGACTCAGCTTCCAGATAACCTCACCTGGATGACTGAGAATCTTCACAGATACTCTGCTAATACAGTTTACAAAATTTATGCATGGCTGTGTACACACAAAAAGGTTATATGAAATCATGTAAACATGACATTGGTATAACACAGCACTTATATATAATTACTTGAGTCTGCTAATACAGTTTGCAAAATTCATACGTGGCTGTGTACACACAAAAAGGTTACATGAAATCATGTAAACATGACATTGGCATAACACAGCACTTATATATAATTACTTGAGCCACAGTTGGTATTCTTTTTCTTGAGAACTGTCCTCTAGGTCTAGGGGACGGTAAGGTATTTCTTCAGAACTGACTCAGAAGCAATGCAAATAAACCATGTCTTTTAATGTCTGGAGACTTCTGGAAGGGTAACGTGGTTCTTTGCTAACAAAAGTCCCAAGAGATCAAGGAAGAGTAACAAGATGAACCTCCACTGACCCAAACAGTAGCAGCTATTTTGAGAGATGGCAAGATCTACCTGGCCCCAGTTTTTAACAAAATATTCTGTTATTTGCCTATGAGTTTGATGTGGTTTCCAACCGTAGGTGTAACCCAGGTGTTCTTGGACTGCAACTCCCAAAAACAACGTACCCTCTAATTTTCAGCCTCTTGCGTGTGTGACTTCACACCTGTGTGAATGCGCGATTCCGCGCCCCACCCCCCGACACCATGTGGGGTTCCATCACAACTGGAACCAAAGGGACTGAAAATGATCCCTACACAGAGGAGGAAAGTTGTGCGGAGGGAGGTGGAGTGGTGTGCACACCTTAGAGAGAACCTTCCCCAGATGCCTTCACTGCTAGCTGTGCCGGCCAGGATTTCTGGTTTACTTAAGGTTGGGAATCACAGGAATAGCATGGGCCGTTTACCCCGCAGTTTGCATCTGAAGAGGTACAGGTGGGATCAGATTAAAAACCAGCGACTATACAATGTGCAGCTCAATGTGAGGAAGCCCATTGGGAAATCCTCTTTTCTAGGTGGGGAATCATCTCTTTTTTCTTCAGCTGGCCAAGGTGGTCTTTTATTTTGCTCAGACTGAACTGACATTGCTCTTTGCTGCTTCATGCCATGTATGATCTCGTGATCCAGTGCAAACGGGTGCCAGCTCCCCTCAACTAAGTGCCTGCTGTCTTCAAATAGTGTTACTTTTTTTAAAAAAAACAAATGCTTTCTAATTAGCGCTGTTTCAGATAAGTGATAGGTCAACTCGGGTGAAGGGAGAGGCAAAAGAAATGTGTTCTCCCAGTGGAACTGGCCAATTGATATCTTGTCCGATCAAAGTACTGGTTAGGTTTCATTTAGAATACTGTACCCAGTTCTTGAGCCACTGCACTTTAAGAAGGATGCCAACAAACTGGAGCATGTTCAGAGGAGGGCAACAAAGATGATCAGGGGACTTGAAACCAGACCCTCTGAGAAAAGACAGAAAGAACTGAGCACATTGAGTCATGAGAAAAAAGACTGAGGGGGAGATCTAATAGCACTTTTCAAATACAGTGGTGCCTCGCTTAATGGGCGCTCCGTTTGACGACGAAATCGCTAGATGTCGATGTTTTTGTGATCACAAAAGCGATTGCAAACGATGTTCCCTATGGGGGAATTTCACTTTGCGATGATCGGTTCCCTGCTTCAGCACAGGCAGCAAAAATGGCCGCGCTATGGAGGATCTTCGCTGGACGGTGAGTTTCAAGCCCCTAGGAACGCATTAATCGGGTTTTAATGCGTTTCTGTGGGCTTTTAAAAATCGCATTACGATGTTTTCGTTTTACAGCGATTTCGCTGGAACGAATTAATGTTGTAATGCGAGGCACCACTGTACTTGAAAGGAAGTCATAAAGGTGAGGGGTAGGATCTTTATTTGATCATTCCAAACTGTAGGACATGTAATAACGGGCTCAAGCTACAAGAAGCTGAATTTAGACTGAATATCAGGGAGGACTTCTTAACTGTTAGAGCAGTACGACAACGGAACCAATGACCTTGGGAGGCAGTGAACACCATCACGGGAACCGTTCAAGAGAAAATTGGACCACCATCCTGTCATGGGAAGCGTTCAAGAGAAAATTGGACCACCATCCTGTCAGATCTGCTTTGATGTGGATCCCTGCCTTGATCAGGGGGTTGGACTCCATGGCCTTATAGGCCCCTTCCAACTCCGTGATTCTAGGATTCTATGAAAGGGATCTTCCACTGTTTTAGTTCCATGCAACCATTAGGGAGCTTCCACTGTTTTAGTTCCATGCAACCATTTGATAGCTTTCCTCTACCTCTGCCTCTGTTTGCCATTGGGACAACTACAGAAGCCAGTGGGGACCCAAATTGGAAACGTGCAATCGTAGGGTATCAAAATGGGACTCCCCCCGCCCCCCGCTGTGCAGTTCCATCCTTTATTTTGTTGTATCCCCTGACAGGAGAATACATCCTGCCCTGACGAGTCTCTTCTCTTCGATTCCCACAGGCGATAAAGAGAACGAAGAACAGAGAACCAAAACAGAATGCGAACAGCAGCAGAGCACGAGCCTCCCTCATCATCCGGGGATTCAAACCGCAGAAAAGAAATTTAAATGCTTAGAGTGTGGGAAGAGCTTCACGCGCAGAAGCCGCCTCACTAAACATCAAAGAACCCACACGGGAGAGAAACTTTACAAATGCTCGGAGTGTGGGAAAAGCTACTGGGACATCCACGGGCTGACGAAGCATCAAAGAACCCACACGGGAGAGAAGCCCTATAAGTGCTTAGAGTGTGGGAAGGGCTTTAGCCTGTTGTCCACTTTTAATTTTCACCAAAGAATCCACACCGGAGAAAGACCTTTTAAATGCTCAGAGTGTGGGAAGAGCTTCACAAACAACAGCCACCTGACGTCGCATCGGAACATCCACGCTGGGGAAAAACCCTTTAAGTGCGCAGAGTGTGGGAAGAGCTTCTCCTGGAGCAGTAATCTGACAGCCCACCAGAAAATCCATACAGGACAAAAGCAATTTAAATGCTCAGAGTGTGGGAAGAACTTCTTTTGGCATAGCAGCCTTATCGCCCACCAAAAAATCCACCGGGGCCAAAAGCCGTTTGTATGCCCGGTTTGTGGAAGAAGCTTCTTTCACTCCAGTAGCCTTCGCAGACACGAAGGGACCCACAAGGAGAAAAAGCCTTTGACCGGCGAGAAACCCTATAAATGCTCCGAGTGTGGAAAGAGCTTCACGCACAGCACCAACCTGACGGCCCATCAAAAAATCCACACGTGTGAAAATCCCTTCACATGTTCCGTGTGTGGGAAAATCTTCTGTCACCCAAGTAGCCTTAGTAGACATCAAAGAATCCACAAAGAGAAGAACTGTATAAACGGAGAAAAAATGTATAAGAGCGCAGAGTACGGGAAGTGCTTCAATCTGCCTCCTCTTCTAGATAATCAAAGAATTGACACTGGTGAAAAACCATTTCCTTATTCAGACTGCGGAGAGACCTTCCCTCAGAACACGGACCTTATAGCTTGTCAACAAAACTATGGAGGCCAAGAACCATTTACATGCTTAGAGTTTTGAAGAGCGCTTCAGGGCAGAGCTGTAGTCTAACTAACCCAGGCGGAAAAGAAACAATACCAATGTTATTGTTAGAACGTAGGGCGACCCTGTGAATTAATGATCTTCAGAAGCTCCTAACATTAACTTCTCTTGTTCAGGTCCTGCAAATTCAAGGTCTCAGCTTCATTATTGAGTTAATCCATCTCATCTTTGGTCTTCCTCATTTCCTACTGCCTTCCACTTTTTCCAGCATTATTGTCTTTTCCGGAGAGTCTTGTCGTAATGCGCCCAAAGGATGACAGCCTCTATTTCATCAGTTTTGCTTCTAGATTGAGTTCAGGCTTGATTTGATCAAGGACCCCTTGGGTTGTCTTTCTGGTGGGCTAGGGTAACCATCAATCATTTTTTCGCCCCTGTCAACTTTTCTGAGCCTCCAGATTCCAAAGAAGTCACTCTGCTAGTCTGACTCAGCATGTTGGCAAAAGAAAACGGGGTAGGGGTGGGAAGAGTGAAATGTTTTATTGCACTTCAAAGACACAATAGTTCTCTTCCTTGTGTTGAAATCCACTTCTTCAGACACAGGAGTGCAAACGGCTGGCCCCTATATGCTGTTGAGATTCATGTCCAGGGGAGGAAATAGATAACGAACAATATGGCAATGGTTCGTTAACACAAGAACGTGACCACCCAGCTGTTACCTAGCAAATCCTGGCCGGGGTAGTGGCCAGCTAGGTAGATTTGCCTATTGCAGGAATACTAAGTGTTCCTGTGAACCTATTAAGAGAATCTGTCCCCTTGAAAGAGCAAAGAAGCCACCGTTGGGTTCCAGCAGCTGATCAGGTTCAGAAGAAGGTTCCTTCAACTAGACCAAGCGGCAGAAGATAACAGAGATCTCTGGCTCCCATCTCATTTGTCTTCTTCATCCTCCATCTGTTTCCACCTGACCTCCCTCTGCCCAATTTGGATGTCTTTTGACCAGGCTCCAGCCTGCTCCCTGTTTGACCTGTAAATGATTTATGGACTGGCCACTTGACTTTGGACTCTGGACTCTTCTCACAGGACTCCCCAATGACTGCCCAGTGCGCCAAGCTGAACTGGTCTCCACTGTCTAGTTTCTGGACCTTACTGCCTACATGGAATGGTAGCTGTGGAGCTGTGGTTGGTACTGACATTACAGCTGGACCCACATGGTCACCGGGGATCAGTTCCAAGCCCTCCCGCAGATGCTAAAAAACACAGATTATAGAAACATGGTATCTGGCTCCTTCTAGTGGCCAGTCTTGATAACGTTTCTTTAGAAATATATATTTCTAGGATTTTTTTCTTTTAATAGGTCTAATATTTTTAAGACCATGGAGAAGTGAATCAGTGGATATTGATCCTTTGGATGCAGGGGTCCTACTGTGTATTGTTTTTTGATAGGAGGTGAACATGCCTCTTTGGTTTTATCTTCTGCCTTCTGCCCCCTATCCCTTGTCATGGTTTTATTAGGATATTTAAGTGTCTCATATATCATGTACCAATTGGGTTTCCTAAAATGCAGCAAGGCGCGTTTGTGACTGTGTGTGCATGTGAGAAAGGAACTGTTATTGCTACCAACATCTTTGACAGGTAGGTATGTAGGCTGCTCTGGGGGAATAAACCTTGCCTCTAAGCCAGGGGGCTCCTGTTACCATGCAAACAGATCTATTGATAGAGACCCCCTCTTCCCAAAAGGGGAAAAGAAATCTTATCCCATCAATAGTCAGTATTCACTGGCACTGAAATTAGTTCTACTGTGGTGCATCACTTAACGACGTTAATTCGTTCCAGCGAAATCGCTCTAGAGCGAAAACGTTGTAAAGCGAAATTAAAAAACCCATTGAAACACATTAAAACCCGGTTAATGCGTTCCAATGGGGTAAAAACTCACCGTCCAGCGAAGATCCTCCATACGGCAGCCATTTTCGGTGCCTGTATAGCGAGGAATCCGTCCCTAAGCACAGCGGGGAGCCATTTTGAGCACCTGGTGGCCATTTTGAAAGCTGTTTTGATCGTCATAATGCCGAAGCAGGGAACCAACCTTCGCAAAGCGGAAAAAAACCCATTTAGACCATCGTTTTGCGATCGCAATTGCGATCGCAAAAACATAGTTGTGAAGCTGATTCATCGTAATGCGGGGTAATCGTTAAGCGGGGCACGACTGTATTTCTTTGTGCTGTTCTGCCCACCATTCTTGCTGAGCTCAAGGGGAGTTGTAAGGGCTGTATTATCACTTATTTGACTGAGAAACCAGTAGGAGTTTTTAAAATTGAATTCATATGGTTCCACAGAAACAGAAGTAAAAGCATAGATTTTTAGATACTTTTTTTTTTCACTCTAACTACCTAAGTTCACCAGGAATCAACTGAACAAGAATTCCGGTAGCTTTAGCCCAAAGATCTGTTCCTTGCTAAAGGTTCTCTCCACTATGAAGGCCATTAAGCATGGAGAAAGACACGGGCAAAGCATTTTAAGCTCCATGGGAACTGGAAAGCATTAGGGGATGGTAGTCTCTGTTCATTAGTTTCTGTAGGTGGTACCACTAAAAAAATCTACCAGTCTCCTAATGCTTTGCAGTTCCCATGGAGTTTAGAAAGCTCCACCCATGTCATTCTCCATGCTTAACACCCATTGCTGCAGAGAGAACCTTGGCAAGGAAGAGATGGGTATCTTGGTACTCCTCTGAGAACTTGGATTTTTTTTATTTTTTTATTTTTATTTTTTTGGTGAAGCTATTGGATTTCTAGCTGAAGAAAAACTTGATAAATTCTGGTAGCTGGAGTGGGAAGAAAAAACTCTCATGCCTATAAGCCAGTGTCAAAGACTTCAACAGTTAGTAGAGCAGATATACTACAGCTATTGATCAGATTTTCAATATTACTAATTAGACTCCAAGCTTTCTAAATTGATGTTCTGGTTCCTTCCGTAAAACCAGGGGAAAAAAACCTGTAGCCTTCCAGACTTTCATGAACCATTAATCTATTATCCAGCTGCTGGATAGCTCAGAGGTTTAAGCACCTGGCTATGGAGCCAAAGGTTGGGAGTTCGATTCCCCCATGGTGCCTCTTTGACAGGGGCTGGTCTCCATCCATAGGGTCCCTTCCAGCTCTGCAGTTCTAAGATGATGATGATGATGATGATGATATCACTATTGGCCAGATTAACTGGGGCTGGTGGGAACTGGAGACTACTACATCTCTGGAGTGCCTCAAGTTGCCGTTCTCTGTTCTGAAGTTCAAATGAACCTTGTATTAAGGTTGTTTCTAGAGAGATGTTTCAACACATTGGCCAAAAAACAGAAGTGGGGGAGCAACAAATATTGCGGTGTCTTAAAAACGAACAAGTTTGCTTCCATGTGAGCTTTTGTTAGTCAAAATTGATTTCCTCAAACACACGAGGAGCTTGAACTATGCCATCTGTATCTATACATATCTCTGTGGTGCTGGCGGCCATGACTGGGTGGAAACTAAAGTAGAGAAAAGTGCGACAATCCATTGCTAACAGAGGAAAGGGACCCTCAAGATACAAATTACCGAGAATGGCAGACCATAGCTGAGGTGATTAGCAGTCTGCTCGGTAGAATTGGCTGACATAGAATGGCTAAGAGTTGTTTCTCGGGAAGAGGGTCAAAGTATATGAAGAGGAACAACTATTTTGTAGACATAAGCTGTTTGCAGAGAACTAGGTTACTAATATAAGTAGTACCCTAAGAAGCTTTGGTCTTTATTTAAGGCCTTAGAGACACATGGTATTTGTTTATGTTGTCTACTTCTGCTCATGATAAGAGAAAACTCCCTGGAAAAGACCCTGATGTTCGGAAAGTGTGAAGGTAAGAGGAGAAGGGGACGACAGAGGACGAGATGGTTGGACAGTGTCATCGAAACAACCAACATGAATTTGACCCAACTCCCGGAGACAGCGGAAGACAGGAGGGCCTGGCATGCTCTGGTCCGTGGGGTCACGAAGAGTTGGACATGACTAAACAATAACTTCTGCTGTCTTGCTTGCCAGCCTCCCTTTGTGATTCCTTTTCTTTCTTTTTTTCTTTTTCTTTTTCTATATAATGAGGCTGTGACTGCCCTGGGAAATAATGCAGGATTTGCTGTGGAAGTAGAATGGATGAATTCAGATTTTTTAAAAAAACTATGGTCACACAACACAAAGGCAGCCTGAGATCCACAACAGAGTGCCCTGGGAGGTTGAACATTGGTCTTTCCATGTTGCTAGTTCCCAGTGTCAGCTTCGTATCTATTTACTTGTTCCCCCAGGGATTGTCCCTGATTCTCCTGTGTAGAAAAAAAGAGGGTTACTACTCCTGGCAGAAGTTGACATTAGAGGAGGCATGTGTCTGTTGATTCCTGACATTGCGGTTGGCTTGGTTGGGATGGGGCTGCCAGTGCTGATATGAGGGAACAACCTGTATCCATCTCAATGTTGCACTGCCTGTTGTGTGTCAGTTTGTCTTCAGGCAAGTACAGGCTGGGTGGAGGTAGCATTGTATAGAACGGGTTTCAGATCATTGATAATACATCCCTGTGGTTTGCGTTGAGACCTTTAGGTGGCTGCAAATAATGTTCCCTTGTTTTCTCTGTTGGGTTATTCCTGGATAGAAGCTCTGTCTGGTTTGCTGTTTCACCACTTTGAATGGCTATTGTACTGTAAGAAACGCCTGCTCCAAATCCACCAGCTTTGAGTCTCTGCCCTGTGCCTCTGAGCAAATCCGATTGTATCAGTGGTTCCCAACCTTGGGTCCCCAGACATTCTTGCACTGCAACTCCCATAAACCTTTGCCAGTACAGCTCGTGGTGAAGGCTTCTGGGAGTTGCAGTCCAAGAGCGTCTGAGGACCCAATGTTTGGAATCATTGATATCTCATTATATCAAAGAGAGACTGGACTAGGGGATGTGTTCTGGGTAGAAGTTGGAGGCGTATAAAGATGAATAACAGGAATGAGCCTTTTTTTTTTTTTTTGGACTCCAGATCCCAAAATTCTCCAAGAACTTTTTCTTGATAGAATTTGTGGGGATCCAGTCCACAAACTCACACCTGGAGACATCTTTATTTCACTTACCTGGAGAGGCAATGGCCTAATTCTAGGCTTTTTTTAACTCTTTATTTCCTGACTCAATGTTTCTTGTGGGTATTGGTTCCTCTGGAGCATGCTCTACAGAGCATGAAGGGCAGTGTGACCACCACCACTGGGAAGACCTAAGGCAGGAAATGAAGCGTTGGAACTAGGCCCTCATCCTTTCTCCAGGTGAGTGAAAGGCTTATGGCCTAGTTCTAGCAGGTATGAGTTTGTGGGCTGGAACTCCCAGAAATCTGCTTAAGGTATTTTTGTAGATTTCTGGCATTACGAGTCCCAAAAATATGAATGACACATATTTAATGCGTAAGAGTTGGTGGGTTTCTGATTATACTAATATGCCCCTTCTGCCATTGCACAGCAGTGCCCCAAAAGTATGGTGGTTATATAGTCCTTTGCAAGCTTAGATTGATATAGGGATGATAGTTCTTGGCCTCCTGGTGGAATTTCTCCACAACTGTAGATGATGAAGATGTCATGGTGACTCTCAGAGGAACGGTTTCTGAAGACAGGAACTGAGGCACCATTGCTCCAGGCCAGCCCTGAATATATTTTCTAGAGATGTGCGGATTTGTGATTTTGCACAACTTCCAGAATTCCCCCAGGCAGCATGAAAAATCATGCGTGTACACACCTTGAAGACCATGGAGCCATACATGGTCTATTGCCATTGATGTGAAAAAACATGTTGTTACTGGAGATCAAGTAGTTATGTATGAGTAGAGGGTTATAGCCCATTTCCATGAGGAATATTGGTATAAAAGTGCCTGTACATCCATGGTGGCCAAGATGGTATTATCTGAAAGGTTGTGGATGGACTGCAGTTTCCTTAGGAAGTCAATTGTATCTTTTATATAGAGGGGAGGGTGTTGGACGCATATGGTTTGAGGACAACGTCCACACTGTATTTAACCTTTTAGATATAAATGTCAATGAGATGAAATCACACTTCTTTAATCTTGGAAACGTGTGTAGTGAATACGCTTTATTGTTTTGTGGGGTGGGGACATCGTTTTTACTTTCCTCTGTGTTTTCTGTTCCAACTTTGTACAATTCAGATTAAGATTGAATTGTGACACCAGTGAATGGGGATGTGCATGAGTTAGATTTTCTTGTCTTTCCTGTTTCTTTTCCATTTCTGCAGGCTTTCCCACCTGTTATA